AGATGACTTAAGTGATTTTTAGATCACAACACTAAGATATTTTTCTTTAACCACAGTATTTAAATTGTAACAATAATTTGAATTGTGAAAATTTACATGCATCACCTTACATTTGGATAGTTCAACATCATCTGCCACGTATTGACCCAATTCCTCCAATGATTTAAATCTCCCTGTAAGTCTGCAGCATCTTTAATACAGTTAGCCCCTCACCCCCCCCCCCCAAAAAAAAAACTTCATCTGCAAACTTCAAAATTTAGTTAGTCAATCCAGAGTCAATATCATTAATATAAATCACAAACATCCGAACAGTTGCAAAATTACGATTAATTGTAGAGAGAATAAAAGGCGATAGATAAGACTGGGCTAATCTAGGCAACGCCATCTATCAGGCCAAACAGGAAATAAGTGTATATGAAATGAATTTGGGGGCATGGGGTTATTTAAGTTCAAAACAATTAATTCATATTTTTGAAACAATCAGACAGCGACATGTCGATATTTTTGCTAACAGGAATTTAGGTAAAATGAAATCAAGAAAAAATTAACATAACTGAAAGTAGAAAAAATATTAAATTCTGTATTTGATGACAAAGAAACTACCTTTTTTCAAGGAAATAGTATTTGGAGACGGTTTAAACGGGTAGTTATTACAAATGTACAACGTTTCGACAACATGATGATGACATAGGCTTATAGAAGCATTGTATATTTATAATAAAAGTTTCTTTCACTACCTGTTTAAGCCGTCTCCAAACATTAATTCTACATTTGATTAAAATGGGGAATTCATTAGGACTATATCTAAATTCATCAACAGAAATAAGAATCATTGCTTCGTTTAATATTTTATTTAATTAAAATTCAAAATTATATTAGCGTCTAACGTACTAAAATAAAACGCTGCTACAACCAGAGTCGAACAAAAGAAATTCAAAACATATTTTTCAAACAATTGGAATAAATGTTTTATGACTTACAAAACATAATCAGCAATAATTCGTTCTAACTGTACCCTTGAACTAACTTGTTTTCACCATTAAGGAAGGGTTGTTATTGTGTGGTTAGATCATGAGATTACATCTCATGCGACTATCTTTTACCATAAATCTACAAAATATTTCTCAACATTAATATCCGTACGTCACCGCTAGGGGAAGCTGGCGCCAGTTTTATAATATGTAGATACTTACTCAAAATCAACGTGATCAGCTTGAAGGTGAGTTAGCGCTTTAATATAACTAAATGATAGAGGAATAATAAACAAAAACCATAATAAGATAAAAGTAGAATTTGTTATCACACAATTGTATTAGTATGTTGTATTTATACCAAAGTCACTAAGGCTGTCTGCTGCTGTCTCTAATTTTGAACTACTGACCCATAACACGTATCATCCACGCTAAGGGATCGATTACTACTCTTATAAAGTACTTAAAGCTTAAATTACAAGGAACATTTTGTGGTTCCACACATTTTCGAACCAGAGCTGCCAGTTGTGAAATCCAGAGATATTTCACAGGGCCAACCCACTTCCAAATATAAACTTAAATTATTTTGTTATTTCCACATGCTACGGATGTCCAGGTAAAAAGTTCGTTACAGCACTTCGGTGCACAAGATTTTTTAAGAATTATTGTAAGTCTTATTTTGATGTAGTACCACATCAAACATCAATTTGATTAGTTTTATCTGTTATCATGTTACAGTTAATAAAGCTTGCATCGCGGGGTAACAGGAGTAACCGTTTTTTGGAAAGTTACTCACTCTGTGTTTAACGTTCTGTAGGTGGTTGCCCTTTTAAAGAAAAAGTGGAATCAAGTTTTCACCTCGTGGAAAAATTAAAGAAACCGCAACTACGTCATAACAACAAAGTCTGCAGGTATTACAACTTTTAAATGGTGAAGAGATTAAAAAAATATTGATGAAATGTTACGTCAGCTTATTTTGCATCTTTCTTTGAAAATAACTAAACCATAAATAAATTTTATCCGAAATAAATGACCACCAACTTTAGGTTACTAGAATATACTTTGTTACGCCTCTGTGTTTTTTGATAAGTTCCGTAAAAATTCTTTCCGAAGAAACTTTACCGATACAAGTCCTTTCTTAAATAAAACTAGTTTATTTTTTCTTAATACAACTTTGCAATACACTTAATTTCCACAGTCACTCTATAACTTAATCAAACGCTATAATTCACAAGGAACGATTCACGCGCTTGACTCAATTGTCCGTCTCTATCTCTGTTTGCAATTCAATTCCATTGTTGCCGTCACTTCTTGGCGGTCTTATATACAAGAATACCGCACATCTAGTAAACACTCGACCATTCACGAACCTTCGAGAATATCATGACGTGAAACTAGCGTCACATGACTTCCGCTGTAGTAACAACTTTTAGTTTTACTTATCGACACGTTTAGGCCTACGTTTGAGATATCTTACCGTACATACAGTCGATAGTTGATTCAAAAGTAAAGTAACTTGAGTTTGTAGATTTTTACTGGAGGGTAAGGATTTTGTCATCTAACAAAGTTTCTTATTAGACCCCTCAGACTCAATTAAAAGAAAAATCTCAAAGATTGTCGCACATTTGTTTCATGTTACAATATTTTATTATTGGCTTCCTTTCGACTCTCGTGCTAGAGCATTTATCGACTTTTATAACCTTTTCGGAACATGGCTACAAAGTAAACAAAATTGCCACCTTTTAGTAAAAAAGTAAACAGAGGAACATATTATTACGACAGCGAAAGTCACGCGACGCTGGGAGCATGCGCGCTGGAGTTTCTCGAATGATCATGAATTTGCCTGGCAGCTCGAGTGTGATCTACATGCCCCCCCCTTTTTAGTATATAAGCCTGGCATTTCTTCTCTACTATATTATATATATATATAT